TATGGATTTTTTTCATATTAATTACTTGAATTTTAGAAATATCATAATTAACATAGAAATTGAAAATTAATAAAAGTAACAATATGATTAAAAATAAACTTAAATACTTGTACCAAATATACAATTGTTTTTATTTCATATGATGGGACTATATAACATTAGAAATGTTCTGAAATATCTTTGATAAAACTTTATACTTTTTTTATTTTTTGTGTTTTATCTTTTTTTAAATATTTATTATTCAATTATGACATCATGAATTTTTTTGAAAAGTTTGATCATCGACCCACCATTTAGATAACAAAATAACTTTGTTTTCAGATCAGTTTTAAATTATATATTTAATCAACATTATATAAATCATTTTTACTTATCACACTTAATTTTTGTTTGGCATAATTAATATATAATTTTTTATATATTCTTTCGATTATATTATATCTTATGTATAATATTTATTTTTGTGATTCTTTGTATTTTCTATTTTTTAAAAATTTTATTATCATTTCTAGGTTGATTTTTGTTTTGGCATTCCATTTTCATCATTTATAAAAATACTTCTTATATTTCATACTTATTTTTGTTCAGTATAATGAATATAAAATATTAGTGACGTGTCCAATTCTTTTTATTATTTTGTATTATATATTTTAATTCTTTATTATTTAATATGTCATTATTTATTAACACACTTGACCCTAAATGGTTGAATTTCTTACCCACCACCGAGAGGGAAGACAATGGTTTTGTTTTCAAATTATTTTTCAAAATATTTATTTTTATATTATAAAAATTAATGTTGTGGACTTAATTAGTAGAATTTCATGATGAGAAAAATAAAACTTAAATTTAGGATTTAATAAGAGAATATACCTTAGATATGAGATTTAATGAGAGATAATAGGAAAATAGTTTTACTTCCAAATTCCAATTGGTTTTAAATTTTACATTCCATTTCCATCGTTAATGAAAACATTTCTTATTTATCATCAATGTTTTTAACCTATTGTTGACTTGGTTGATTAAACCATTCACGTCACTCGGCCTTGATTCTGGGTTTGGTTCTATTGAAATTCCCCCTTTTAGTTAAAAGTTGTCTAATTCGGGTCGTTCAACTATTGACCCGTTCGACTTAGTAAGCAAGTCATAGGTTGTGCACTTTAATTATGTGCAAACTTTTGAAAGCCATAACTTTGCACTTCGATGTCTGATTGGGGTTATCTTTTTTTTTTCAGTAACTTTTCAAGATCTATACGTCCCAAGGGCCTTAGGCACCTTGCCTTGTTATTTTTGTGAAAAAACCCCTTTTTTGGTCCCAAATTGCAATTTTTAATATTTTTATAAAAAAAATTAAAATTCAATTAAAAACATAAGTAAATGTAGCATAATACATATATTATATGTAATTAATATGTGAAAAATATAATTATTCTATTTAATTGATAAAATATGTATTTTTACATAGAGCGATTTGACTCGTTTGACCTTGATAGTCGAACCGGTAACCTATGACCTGAAGGCAAAAACGGGTTGGCCTCCAGGTCAGTTTTTAAAACATTATATATCATACTTATTTTTGTTTAATATGTCAAATATATGATGTTAAAAACATACCCATTTTTTTATTTCTATATTTTTTCATTTTATTATTTAATTGTGGCAACATAGATTGGCTCATTTGACCCAAATGGTTTAATTTCTTACCTCCACCTAGATGAAAACACAATTTTTTACAAGTAGATTTTAAAAGTATAAGTTTTTATGTTATTGAAATTATTAATTTTTTATGTATGGATTTAATTATAGAATTTAATGATGAGAAGAAACAAAAAAGCCTTAAATATATGATTAAATGAAGGTGAATGCAAATTAATACATTAAACATTGGATTTAATGTTAGAGAATTGAATGCATTGAATATCCTAAAATTACATCTTTTCAACTCATTTAATATCAATAACCAATTATCCTACTTGCCCTCATTTTTTATCAATAAATTTAAATATAAAGGGGTAAATTTTGTCCTAAAAAAATTACAGAAATATTCTTAAGGCTATTCGTAGTATAGATTTTGACACAATTAATAAAACAATATAGAACTCCTAACGGAACAAAACGTTAAGATGAAAGGCGAATTAGCTGGGATAGTTGTCGCACAACTATTAGGTGCTTACTTAGTGCGCTTACCTAACGTCCCTACTACATTCGGACCCCTTAGAATTTTGTTTGAATCAAGGTTTTAATAATCGACCTGAAAATGGAACCGCTCTAGCTACTGGTTTCTGGGTCAGTGGTTCGACCATCCAGGTTGAACGGTTTGGACGATTTACATATTAGGCCAACTATTTTATTATATGAGTTCTGAGATTTGAGAAAGGAGAGGAGATGTTGTCGGCTGAGAAAGAAACAAAGAAGGAAAAGAAAGAAAGAAAGGAGAAAGGAAAAAAGAAGAGAAGAGAAAGGAAAGGAAGGAGGGAAGAAGGAGGGAAGGAGGGAAGAAGAAGGAAGAGGAGGGTGGTTCGATGCTCACCAGCGACGATAATGGCAACGGCGAAGTGGCAGCAACATACATAGATTTGAGTTCTTAGATCTTCTTCTTCTTCTTCTTCTTCTCTCTCTTCTTTCTCAGATATGAGACATGAACTCAGATCTGAGACAACTGAGACATGAACTCAGATCTAAGTTCGTATGTTTTCTAACGAAGAGAGTTCTTGGGTCAGAATCGCTGTCCGGGTCAAACAAGTTAATGGTTCAACCATTCAGCTCAGCGATTTTCTTACCAAATCAACGGTTTTTGACCTAGGAACGGGTTAAGGGTGAAACGGAACCGGTTGCTTGGATGGTTTCTGGGCTGAACGGTCCGACCTTCTGGGTCAACGACGGTTCAAAAACATTGGTTTGAATTATTCCAACGGTTGTTTGAGGTATTTTATGGAACAACTATCCTATCAGAAAATTGCCTAGGAGATGACTCAATGTGATCACTATATGTGCCTACCTGATCCAGAGTCTACTAAGTGTGCTAATCTTATGTGCCTACTTGATCCAAATTCTTGTCCCTTTTTATGGGGAGATATTAATTGCCAGTAAAGGTGTCAATGGACCGGTTTTGGATTGGATCCCTCCAAACCAAAGTCAATTTGGACGGACCAACAAGATATATTGGTTTGGATCAATCCAAACTTAATGGTCCAAAAGTATTTATTGGATTGGATTGGACCGGTTCCATTCCTAATGAATTTATATTGGATTGGGTTGGACTGAGTCAATAGCTGGTGCATTGATATAAGATAAGAATTTAGGTGCCAATTGTTGACAGAAAAAATATGGGTATCAATGGACCAGGTTTGGGTTGAAACCAATCTAAAAGAAAGTGAATTTGAATAGATTGAATAGTCCAGACATTGAATTGGACCAATCCAAAATGGTCCAAGATATTCACTGTATTGGATTTGACCTTGTCCATTTGTAATGGGCTCACATTGGATTGGATTAGAATGGACAAAATCTAATGTAATTGACACCTCTAATTGCTAGTGTGTAGCTGGCGGATTCCATGCTTGTTGAGTGTGTGTAGAATTTTTACTTATTGTGAATTTGTTGGGTTGATATTTTCTGTTTCTTTGAAATACTGGTGTGTTTGCATTTTATTGAAGTGTTTACTTAGGGATGGCAATTTTCCCCATCTCCTCGATCCCTGTGGAGACCTGCCTCGAATGGGATGGGAATGAGGATGATTTTTTCCCTGTGAGGAAAGGGATGGGGAAATTTTCATCCCCATTAGTGAGGATGGAGAGAGCACTCCTCGCCCTGCAAGGACCCTGATCCTTGCGAATATATGTGTATATATTACGCATATGTCTATATATGTATGTAGGTATGCATATTATTATTTTTAAAAATAAGCTTAAATGTGTTTGAATATATTTGAATCCCTTTTAATGGGATTGTAAATTTTAACTATTTAATTTTTAAATAAAATAAATAAAAAAACAAAAACAAAATGATTGATATACACTCTTGTGGGTAGGGATGGCAATTTTCCCCATTTCCTTGATCCCCGTGGGGATCCACCTCAAATGGGGCGGGGATGGGAAAATTTTCATTCCTGTTATTGGGGACGGGGAGAGCACTCCCCCCGATCCCCACTCGTAGGATCTCCACTAATATATATGTATATATGTATGTTATATATGTACACATACATCTATATATTAATGTTTTAAAAATATGGTTGAATATGTTTGAATCTTTTTTAATAGATTATAAATTTTAATTATTTTATTTTTACATTTTAAATAAAATAAAAAATAGAATTATTAACATTATAAAAAATTACGGGAAATGAAGATCCCCACGGGGATGAGGCTCCCTGTGGGGATGGGGATGGGGATAACCTTATCTCCGTTAATGGGGATGGAGATGGGATTCCCCGCCCCACCCCATTGCCATTCCTACTTGTGGGATGGGGACGAGGATGGGGATGGGGATTTTTGCGATGGGGAGTGACTCCCTGTCCCCGCCCCGTTGCCATTCATAGGTATACCCTCGCTCCTAAAATACACTTTCAATCCTAAAGAGGCCGTGGAATTCCTTTTTTTTTGTTGTTTTCTGTTAATTCAATGCCTTTTTTTTTTATAAAACAAATTCCATGCATCCAACCACTGAACGAGCACGTCGTTGAAAAATTCAAAATTCTGTAAAAGTAGATAACAAGCATATTTGGCCTGTGTAGAAGTCATGAACTGATAATTTTCTTATAAAAGATTTTCTGTGGAAACTAGTCCAAATAACTTTTTGTAGCGTAGACCTTCAGCTTCAAGCCATTAATGACCAAGTGCTCTGTTGCCAGCCTGGATCTAATCACACTACAGTTGATGGTCCATCACTGTTTTTTTTTTTCCACAAAAAGTCGTAAACGGTGGTAATAAAAAACATTATTGTCGCTTAATTTCTCATGAAACATATTTTCGTCCATGGTTCATAGAAGCTTGGTAGTTGTTAGGAAGTTGGAACAAGTCATTTTCATGTGTTTCTATAAAACCTTTGGAGCTCTTTCACCTCTAATTCACAAATTTGTAGGGATACTGAGATTTGATTGAGCTACCATGAGCACCAAGGTAAGAACAATGGTATCCAAGTCCTGCTTTTCTATGCTGATCAAGATCTCCATCTTTAGTTTCTGTGCTTCACTTTTCTATGATCTCTACTCTTTTTCATCCCTTAATTGGTTTTCTGTAAACAGAAAATAGATCTGAAAGTCAATATGAACTGTCTAAAGTGCAAGAAGCAGGTTCTCCAATCCATTACCAAGCTTCAAGGCACTCTCACAGCAAACTTACAGTAGTCAATTGTGTTTGATTAGTTAGTCCTTCTTGTAGCTAGATGATTAATTTGATGATTTTGATATACAGGCATAGATAGTATAACTGTGGATATGGAGAAGGGAATTGTATCTGTGATTGGCGATGTTGATCCAATACAGATTGTATGCCGAGTCAGGAAGACTGGGAGGATAGCTGAGTTAACTAATGTTGGACCGCCAAAGAAGCCTGAAGATCCCAAAAAACCAGATGATAAACCAAAACCTAATCCCGACCCCATCCCCCACTGTTGCAAAGATTGTCAACATTCTGGGTTCAGCTTATTAGTAATTGATGACGGTAGACCATCCTGCTCCATCCTCTAGAGATGAAGTTTTATGTCTTTCTTTCTTTCTTTCTGTTGCACCAAGAAAAGATTGCTTCTTCTATTCTCTTCTTTTGTCAATTCCTTTTCATCAAAATAATGAAACTTTGCAAGCTGGTCTTGAAGATTGAACCACATTACTTATTGGTATTTAAGTGAAACGCTGAGATCAAATGGCTTGGATAAACAGTTTCTGAACTTCAACGCCACCTTCACGCTTCGAGGTGTTGATTTGGGGGAATGTTTGGTTTTGGCTATCTGAAAATGTACGAGGAAAAGGACCCAACAGTGATTAATTATTCAGTAGAAACCTCTCCCATATGTGCTATAGCTAGAAGCAAAAAGTAGAAAGTTAGCAACCCTTTAATGTACAACCAAATTACTTTGATAGTGGGATAACAGATCTTATATTGTCAGAGAATTAAATTAAACTTTTGAGAAGGGCCAAACATGTAAAAGCACATGTGGGATGATTATTGTTCACTTAATGTGAGGTGGTGCTCAATGACCTGGTAGGTTACGTTAAGTTATTAAACAGTGCTCGATTAATGACAAGTAGTTAATTAAGTGCAATTCAAGCATACACCATCGGGTGTCAAATATTGGGTAAATAGTAGGGCCCAGAATGAGGAATTTTCAGATTAATTCCTCAACAGTCTACTCTATGTAATATTATAATACACCACGTCAGCTCAATTCCACACGTCCGCAGGATGATGTGGCATGTCATGATTGGCCCCTAGATACATCATCTGGTTATGTGGAGGATTGGGACCCTCAATTGGTGGTGCCCATGTAGAATTTATTAGCCAGATGGAACGGTCTCCTATTGATTGTAGTAGAAGCTTGGATCAAATCCAACTTGCAATATGGTTGAGAGGGTTTATAGGTTTAGGGATGATCTTCCGGTTGTGCAGTCCCATGAAAAAACAAATTTTAAGCCTTTTTTATATTTTAACCTCTGCCAAAAAAGAAAAATCTCTAATATCTTTCAAATTATCAAGTAATAAAATTGATCAACTTTTTTAAATTTTTCGTATATCGCACGGGCCCTATTTAGTAAACCCTAAAAAATGATTGAAGAATTAAATTGAGAACTCTAACAAGGAGAGGCGGTGCCTCAGCCACGTACTTGTGGGGGGTTCGACATTTGTTAGACTACCAAATGGTCTGAATGTGTTCATTTTCTTTTGGGTTAAATACTTAAACTACCCCTTTAGCAAATGGACACATAGAATGCAAAATCTTATATTTTATATTATTTTTTATATATTTTATACATATTTGCATTTGTACTCTTTCTAAACTAATCTTTAAAAAATTACTTAAAGTATTTCGGACATTTATGATAATGGACACAATCACCCCCTTACCGTTAATATTCGCAAGCCGCCACATGACATTTTTATTTTTTCAAAATGCCTAAACAACTCTTTTATGGTCCAAAACACCCTTCGGCCTTTGGTGACCTATTCTTTCGAAAGAGAAAAGAAAGACTTCAACCATCGTCAGAGCCAATTGGGGTTTTCTGGCAAAAAGGGCACGGGAAATGGGTCTAGATGGTGCGAGAAACAATGTCTCAAAGAGATTTTGAAGGAGGTGGAGGAGAAATAGAGAGTTGGTTTAGAGAGGATTCGAGGGTGTTGCTGTGATGGAAGAGGGGGCAATGAAAACAAAACTTACTTGATGGGGGGACTTCAGTTGGCTGCGATCTAAATCTGCTAACTGGGACGGAAATACACTGAGAGAGAAGGGATTAGAGAGACTCATCGCAAGGTTGAAGAGATGAACAGTGATTTTGGGTGAATTAGGTCACCATTGCGGACCTGCAAGGATCCTCCACTCCCGTTTGTGATCTTTCCTCATTGTTCTCAGAATCCCTACCGAATCCTCCGATCTCTTCAACCTCCCTGCGTAGTCCCTTCACAAATTCTCGTCTCTGCAAAGATCACAAATTTCTTTGCTTTAGAAGAACAAAGCCCATGCCATTTTATCAGAATCCCACTATATAATTAGTATTTCTGGGTTTCTTTTCATCGTCACCGTAATTGAGATTGAGATTTCTGGATTCCAAGTGTTTTATAATTTTTATCTCTTTACTTAATGGAAGGACAATATGATCATTTTATCTTTTCAACTAAAACTAGAATTCTCTCATCCACCTAGAATCAAACATTTTTCCGGCAATTGGCAAAAGAAAACCACCCCCGGCAGTTAAACTACAGTGCTTTATAGATTAGACAAGATCAGCTGTGGGGCGCCCACAGAACCTCCAACCCGTGTATTGCGAAAATCTTCCCATGATAAATATAAGAGATGTTCTCAATTCAGAGATGTGTACCTGCCGATGTGATCTCAGATTAGACCATTTCTTTCAACTTTCTTGCTTTTTCTAAAATTACTGGATTATTAAAGTGTGTTAGAGAATAAAAACTTATTCAAAAACCTCATCCAACAGCTTAAACTTTTAAGGTTTAACACTTCCTTGAGACTCAATTTTTATGTATTAGAACATCCAATCGATCAGGGACAACCTCTCTCGAACCACTCTAACTCGGTTTTGGTGTTCTTAGATGAATTTGGCCAGCTGCAACACAGTGACAGTCGTGACATGCTGATCTAGGATGTGGCAGACTCAGTTATGGAAACTAACTGATCAATTCCTATAATCACGGCTAGCCTTTTGAAAATTTTGAATAAAGTAAATGATTTCAACAATTTTATCGTTCCATCAATTGGAATCTCCATCTCCCTGATCACAATTGTGAAAAGCAAGGAACTATTTCTGTCAACAGGAGATCGGCGATCATTTTCAGACATATGTGATGACTGTCAGGGGACTTCTTGATCTGGGTTTTGACCAATAAGAGGGGTTTCAATGATTTAGTGAGAGAAGACTTAGAGCTATCAGCTATGGTTACGGCTGATGCAACAGGAGAGATAATGCATCTGCTGGAAAAGATTTTAATTAAGAAATTGAAGACCCCATGCCAATTCATTATCATAACTTAATCAATGTTGTAAGAGATTTTAATTAAAACATTATTCTACCAAAACAATAAATACAAAAGGAAAATATGTTACACAAGTTTAAATTTTAATTAAATTAAAATTAAATAATATTAATTGAGGGGATTCTTTATTAATTAACATTACCAGCGGATCGACTTAATAAGTTTTTGTTCACCAATCCAGAAATAAAATCTGTAATAATAAAAGAGAAATCTTAAACAGAAAAAAGAAAATAAAATTTACAAACAAGCTACAAAATAGAATTGTCACTCTCCATCACACATGCTCCTAATTCTTTCTTTGAGATCATGAAACCCTTGGATAGGTTTGGTTTCGTTCCAATCTAATCTAACATACCCAACTCTATATAAAAGGGAACAAATATTACATTCCCAACTGGGCCTCAACACACTTTCCCAATTTTTAGAAGCTTAGAGCTATGGCTGGCCTCTATGGGAAGAAAGAATTAATGGATCTGTCATTTCAGCTTTTCACGTACTAAACAAAAATACAGACTATTGGAGAAGGCTTAAAATCCCACAACACCACCCCTCCCAAATATCATTGCTATAAATTGTTCAATACAAATTTTTTATAAATTTATCTTTTCAGTTGCTATAGATTGTTATTGATCTTTGCCATTTATAGATAAAAGTGTCAAATTTGACACCGCACGCAGAAATGGAAATTTGTAGTGATCAACTCAAAAAGTTTCTGATAATATATATCTCAAAAAAATGCATGTGGAATTGACTATTCATGTTTATAGTTGAAAGGTAGAAACAACAATATGCGTTGATCAATTCAAAAAGTTTCTCATGTGGCTAGGGCAGTCTTGAGATTAGATTCAATAACCCTCACATGAAAACACATTTTTCTCATGTCAGTGTGGAACCTACCTCGCATTGCCATCAAGGGTGCAATTTTTGCGGATTAGAATTAGAATTTTTTCAAAATTTCAATGGGCCTAACCCAAAACAATGTAAACTGTTAGCTTGGACCAACCCGACTTGAACCCTTAATTGGCATCGAATCTTATTTGAAACCAGACCATGGATTTACTCATCTACCCACCACATCGCCCCTTTTATGTGGTTGTTGGAGTCTGCCCAACTGCTAGGGGTGTTAATTGGACTGGATTTGGTCCAATGTGAGTCCATTATAAATGGATTAGGTCCAATCCAATCCAATGAATGCTTTGGACCAATTTGGACCAGTCCAATTCAATGTCTGAATCATCCAATCTGTTCAAATTCACCTTAATTTACATTGGTTTCAACCCAAACTCGGTCCATTGACACATATATTCTTATCTTATATCAATGGACCAAATATTTGCTTAATACAATCCAATCCAATATAAATTTGTTATCAACTGATCAGGTCCAGTCCAATCTAATAAATATTTTGGACCGGATTGGTCCAATCCAATATGTCTTACTGGTCCGTCCAATCCATCCAAATTAATTTTGGACCGGACGGGGTCCAATCCAAAACCGGTCCATTAACACCCTTACCAACTGCCATCAAAAGAAAGAAGACTCATAAGTTGTGTAGTGATTAGGATTCTCAGGCCCATGTGCTTTCAAAATTGTCAACCATTTGATTGGAATGTTAGGTTTCCTGTGAATCTATGTGTACTATGTGCGTTAATTGAACCTAGTCAGTTGATGGCTGGATAATAGAATGCCTAACTGGGTTTCCTAGAAGGTCTAACTGAAATTAGCTAGGCCCAGGCCCTGACTAGATGACTTGGCGAATCCCACGATTAAGATGAATCTTGTACCAGATTGGCGCATTCATAAATATACGAGTCAAGGAACTTAGGAAGGAAGCCCAAAACAAACTCTCATATCAGGTGTCAACTTTGCCAGGCCAACTCAAGTCTGGACCGTTCCAGCATCCAATTTTACACGGGTTGTTGGATTTCAGTTTTCCGATTGGGCCTGGGCCCAAAAGTCTGGCCTAACCTACGGGCAACATGAGGCTGAACCAATTATATACGTAGTGTATAGACACATTTTTTACGTGCATATGTTAGATTTTAGTGAACAAACGGACTAATCCAAGCCCAACCTAATCCTGAGCTAACGTGAGGTCGGCTCGGGCTTTAAGCCCAATTGTT